TTTGTATTCTGGGGTGAGCGATAGACTTACCTCCACGTGGTGCACCCTGGACAACGTATCTTCATACGGTAAAAAAGACTATCACTCGGCATTTTGACTTCTATTTGTTACGATTAGCTTGAAACAAGGCTATAAGAGAAATCACCCTCGTCAGGGCGAATCAAAAAGGTCTTCAGATCCTCCAGTGGTATGCTGGAGGGATGTCACAGAACACAACGATCCAAGTCCAGAAAATCCTACAAACCTATGATGTAGACATTTTCACAATTATGGAAGCGAAACTTTCGGATGACAAACTGAAATACTACTAATTTCCAGGTTACACCCTCTACCTTCTACCTAAATACCGGTAAGTTGCAATTGGAATTCTGACTAGACTGAAAGAAGGCGTCACCTCACACTACGATCTAATCAAGAGTATGGGTTCGACACAAGACATATGCGAAATAATCAGATTAAATGTTTGGAAATGTCAAAACCACTTCAAGATATATGCAGTCTATAATCCACCATAGAATAGTCCCAACTNCCCCCCCCCCCCCCCCCCCCCCCACCCATGGGGGAAGCTGAAGTCAAAGTTTAAGGGCTAATGATAAATATCATAAAGCCTGCTATTTGAAAAAATGTTTGTATTCTTATGGTCCCATCTGGTGGAATGGGTGTTGAAGTCTCCTAATAATACAGTTTTGTGTGAGATGTTCAGAAAATCATTAATACTATGGTTTTGTGTGAGATGTTCAGAAAGTCAAAGTGTCTTGAAGTTTTGTGTGAGATGTTCAGAAAGTCAAAGTTGGGACGGGGAGGATTATAGACTGCATATATCTTGAAGCGGTTTTGATATTTCCAAACATTTAATCTGATTATTTCACATATCTGTGTCGAACCCATACTCTTGATTAGATCGTAGTGTGAGGTGACGCCTTCTTTCAGTCTAGTCAGAATTCCAATTGCAACTTACCGGTATTTAGGTAGAAGGTAGAGGGTGTAACCTGGAAATTAGTAGTATTTCAGTTTGTCATCCGAAAGTTAGCTTCCATAATTGTGAAAATGTCTACATCATAGATTTGAGCTGGGAATTGGTAGTACTTCAGTTTGTCATCCTAAATGTTTGCTTCCATAATTATATAATTGAAAATGTCTACATCATAGGTTTGTAGGATTTTCTGGACTTGGATCGTTGTGTTCTGTGACATCCCTCCAGCATACCACTGGAGGATCTGAAGACCTTTTTGATTCGCCCTGACGAGGGTGATTTCTCTTATAGCCTTGTTTCAAGCTAATCGTAACAAATAGAAGTCAAAATGCCGAGTGATAGTCTTTTTTAATACGTTGTCCAGGGTGCACCACGTGGAGGTAAGTCTATCTTAACAAAGTAAATTGTATAAAGTGCTTGAGTGCCCTCAACCTTATGCCCTGTTTGTTGTGTTTTGGAAGAGCGTCATAAATAAACCTCCGGTTAATCAGTGTTGGTGTCTTGGATAGGAGTTTGATGAGTAATCCAGAGGACAAATAGGGAAATTCGAACTTTGAAAGGCGATTGGTTTAAAATATAACACCAAAGGAAGTGATTCTAGATGCTTTTATTTTTATTCACTTCTAATTACTCGAATACGGTTGCTTTCCCACTGATTATTTACAGCATTGCATTCCTTGTATGGATGAGTGTTTGAATGCGTGATGCGCACCATCACTTAAATGAGAGCGAACTTATTGTTTACTTTGTAGAGTAGAGTTCAAAACTGGTTGTTGTCTATCTAATAGTAGCTTAAAATGGGATAAACCTTTAGAATTAAATCACATTTCTTTATCTGTAGAGATTGGTTGGCGAATACGAAGCGTGAATAAACCATGGTTGAAAAAAAGTAACGTAAATCTGAATGAATAACAATGGCAGTATGACGGGTAAGGTTATCCAATCAATTATAAAACAGGCCACACTGTGCGATTTGGTTCGACGAGACATCGCAGACATAAGGAAAATAAAGAGTAGGTGAGAGTTAAGAATTGCAGAGGAGGGGCGGAAGGATTTCTATGTAGGAGTTGTCGCTAGACTCCCATCATCGCTAAATGTAAGGCAAGAAGTGTTCCACGATCACAGGCAGATACTGGTCTAAGTATCAGTACTAAAAATGCCTTTCTTTTAAACTACGCTGTCTTTGTTAACCTAGAGGTTAAGCGATTGCCTGTTTAAAACACCAACATATGCGCGAGTTTTAAATGGGGCAATATCTGTTTAATCAACCATCCCTCATTTGAAAAAGTCAATTTGTTATATATGCCTTTCTTAAATGTTCTGCATTTACTGAATTATCTTTACTTCAGTAACTGAATCATTTTTATTTTGTAACTTATGCAAGCCTTGACTGAGGGCAGTGAATTTGGAGTCAAGCGCTCAAAGTACTAGCTATGATGGAAGCGGAATAGCTCTAGTTTTGTCATTCAGTGCTTCACTTCTCCATGGGTAGGCTATAAAAAGCGAATGTCGACAGCCTTATCCTAATTTGATTTAAGTCAACTAAAATTTTAAGTAATTCGGGTTTATTTTTTTTAAAAACTTTTAGTTATTTAACGACTCCACATTTGGAAATAATTTAAAACAATTTAGGTTAAGGCAAAATAAGCTATATAATGGATGCAATTTTACATGTAATGATTTACACTTATTGACGAAATTCAAAGTAATAAGCTTAGGTTTGGATATAGTGATCTATGCAACTCTGAACTCTAACAGATATCATGAATATACCATTACCCAGCTCAATTTTTTAATTTCGTTTCTTTAATTTGGAGTATATAAATTTCGCTTTCGTCCTCAAATCCGTCAGACTTCTTAGCTGACCCAGTCAGATATTTGCCCATATTTGTGAGGGCTCCTCAAATTCAAAATATTTCCCCTTAAATAATCGGACTATTAACCTAGGTAAGCAACTGACAAAAAATGAAAAAATTCATCATAATATAATGTCGTTAGTAGACCATTCAAGCTTTAAAATCTGAGACGAATGTGAAAACCTGCTTAGTTCTCCTACCCCGCTAGTCCATTGACATGACGAAAGCACGATCAGCATTTGTATTGAGCATTATGCAGAAAGGTTAGAAAAACAGTTGACAAATAATAGAAAAGTGAAGGAGACTAATCCACATCTAAGGGAACAGAGTCAGCTCCAGTAACCTTATGAAGGGACTCGGTTTTGGCCATTCTTGATCCAAATTGAAATGCGCGCTTGGGCAGGCGAGAGGCAATGAGCAAATCTAGCGAAGCAGCAACGTTTCTAAGAAGAAGTTTCTCTCCTTCCCCTCTTGGCAAATTCAGATCGACCTATTAAGTAAAATACACAAAGATGAACCAAATAACGTGATCGGTACAAGTATGTATACACAATTTACCAATAGCTGATACTTTGACGAATAGTTTTCATACTTCATACACACAAAATTGCATTTCTCCCCTGTGGAAACTAGTACTGGAAGATATTTTTGCTTACACACATCCATTACTCAGCCACAGATACTTCGCTTTTAACTTTAATCGATAATTCTATTGACTCGCCGTATATTTTCATCATTACCCGCAATTTGCCAAAATGTCACACCCTGCATGAAATCCAAAGAACCGAATGGATAAGTTAAAAGGTCAAATGCAAAAATTGACATAAAGACAATCTCTAAATTGTCGCCAATCCCCACACTCAATTCGTGAGTAATTAAATAAAACTTTAGTGGGATGTTAATTACGCTAACGATTCGTCTAATCTTATCTTTAATATCTGGAGTAAGATTCAGCTGCCTATTACCCTTTAGGCGGTGGCGAACATTCAATCTTAAAATACAAGCGAATTCTGATCTAAAATTAAAGAACTTATTTAATTGGAGATCCTAGAAAAGGATCTTTGTAAAAGTCCAGAAAAGAATTTTGCATTTTAGGAATATTTAACGACTAAATTTACGAGGGCTTTCTCTTTAAATGAAAATGGTCAAAAAACATTTAATTCCCAAAATAAGATAAACTCGAACAATAAATAAATAAATAAATGTTTGATTCTAACATGGCATTAAAGATGAAAAGCGGAGAAATAAATAAGTTTACCCTCCGATGCCTTGCTACCCATTAATCAATCATTTTCTTCTAACAAATAAAGAAACTCAAGAAAAATATACAAAGCTGCTTCCTTTTTATACATATAGTCAATCAAGTATAATTTTCTAAAAATATGGATGTTTAAAGTGCAACCGCTGCAGTGAAATAATTCAAAATGAAGCACTTCATTGATCTCTATATACCAATTGCTAATTATAACAACAGGAATTCATTCACTCCGTCTTTAAACTAACCCCACCTATTTTCCGCTCTTTTAAATAAGTACGAGAAATTTTATGGCAAGATTCGTAAAATGGCGGAAAAATATCGGATAATGTTCAAGACGGAACACTAAGTCATCGATCTTGAGAAAGCAATAAACAAGGAGTTAAAAGAGAAAACGTATCATTTTAATTAAAACTCAGTAAAATTCGTTCATGCTAACTTATCTAACTGCACAGCTCAGAAAATATTCCGACAGCCTCTCCCGTTATTGTACTACAAGTGCTGATGCATTTAGTAGCTTCTTGAATGAAAATGTATGGGGCAAATTGTAAAAAGAATATAAAGCTTGCATTTTAAGCGATGACATAGATCCGTTTGGTGAGTGAAATAATCTAATTTGTCGCAGACCCTCCAAAAAATTTATCTTCAATTTCGCAATCCTTCTCCCCATTGCAGATTAGCTCCATTAGAAAACCATATTCACAAGTGCACAAATAAATAGTAAACCACCAGTGATTGATAATTTTGCCATTTTCATCGAACCACATAATAACAAGGTCCCTTTAAAATGGAAAACTTTATTAAGGCAAAATGAGTCGGAGAAGGCCAATGAAAAGGCTTAATTTAGGAAGAAAAATAGAAAGACTAGATATAAAATAAACAAATAAATATAAATAAAACGTGCATCATATGCTCATATTTATCCAATTAGCCCGTCACACCTAATGCGATCAAATGGGAAACAGCCCAACGTTACCGAAATAAGTGTAAATACGGCGAAAATAAACATCGGATGAAACTATAAAAGTAACTAAAACGCCTCGATAATGTCGTTATTTTTAAATGGAAATTGTACAACAGAAATGGTAGTTCTAAAGTTAGTTAAAGCGAAATTAATATAAGATGAAGAGGATAAAAATGTTACCTTTTTTTCCAAAGAAAGAGATGCCAAGTAATCGGTCACGTCTTCGTCGAGAAAGGGATGCGCAGCCTGGCGGCCATGATCTGAGACAATTCTACAGGAATGCGTGGCTAATATTAATTATTCAAAATGATCGAACACATTGAATTAGTCCATGTAAGGAATTAGACATATTAAAATTAAGATGCAGTCAAAATAAAAGCGTTTCAAGCACAATCTACGGGACATTGTTTCAATTGCACAAGATATGGATCCAAAGTGCGTTCAGTAGTATAAGCATTAAACGATACGAGAAATAAATACATTTATAGAGACTGAAATGGTCAATAATAAAAAGTAGAAACGATATTGTTTCCTTTTAAATAACCCTTCCTGTAAGCAAGGCAATTAATGACTTTATTTTAATAATCTTATCATGAGAGCAACATAAAAGCTAACAAAAGTAAAATATTAACAAACCTATCATCGCGACCCAGATTTCTTTCAGAAATACCCAGCATTTCCAGAGACAGCTCCGATTGGAGAGCTTCGGCGCCGTGCCGTCTAAATAAAAATGAAACTGATTAAGATTACCTTACTAAGACGACAGTGCGATCAAAGTTAAATATCTAGTTGTGATGAATCTTAAATTGTTACTACCCACCAGAGTAATATCTAACAGTATCTTATCAACATTAAAATGTATTGATGATAGATTCAAAACTCACTCAAAGATTTTCCTATGACGAGAATAGCCCGCAAGTTGTTCATCAGCGCCCGTACCAGTCAAAATAACCTTCGAATTTAAAAAAAGAGATATTGTTGCAATATGATTTTAATCCAAACAGCAAGAATGTATGTTGTATACATTTTTCCTTATAATCAAAGGGAAAAGGGGTTCATCAGTATCAATTCTATTTAAAGTTTTACCTCAATGATGCTTGATTAATTAAACGCGAATAATTTTATCGACCGATTGGTGATAGAAGGAATGGCTAATCCCTTAAATCAGCCAATAGAATTATCATTGTTGAAGAGATTTTGTTTTATATATCTAATAGGTCCAGTACTCTTAACTCACCTTAAGGAAAACAACCCAAACTTAGTTTATAAAAATACTCTAAATGAATTTCGAAAAGGACATAAAGTTAGGAGGAAAAGCAAACAACAGCTATATCCAAAAAGAATGAACATCTAAACGTTTTCTAAATAGCCAAGCAGCTTAGTGTGTTCATTTAAGCTATATGAAGAGAAAGAAGAATAATTGCTGAGCAATTACGCAGAATCACTCTTCACTACATTTGATTTTTCTACTCATATTATTACTTGAGTATTCATTCAACGTCTCTTGCAATAAAGAATCCTATTGGTATACACTTAAAGACTAAGTTTAAAATCATCGACAGTAATTCTTAAAAATTGAGCACAAAATTATCGCAATGATAAAATGGAAATAATGCGATGGAATTACTTTTGCTGATGATGTATATTCCCCTCGTGATTCGTTGCATATTTTTCGACTGCAGATTAAACGACCTTTGCCGCGAGCAGCGAACCAAAAGGCAATGGAAAGGCTATCGTTTAGCACGGTTTCTGGTGCAGGTTTCAGCAAAGCGCGAACACGATCTCGTCTACAAAGATTGACATGCATTCATTAGTCGTCAAACTAACTCTAAAACCATAACCAAATGGTGATGATCTCTTTTCATAGAAATCAAAATAAATGTAGACACTCCGGCTAATTAAAGCCGATCAAAGGGATAGAGTTGAAACTGATTGCAATCGGATTATGGCAAATGAGTTTATACTAAAAAACTAGGAATGAAGCATCTCCGAAGACACTTTCATACCAACGCTTTTAGAACGAGACTCCTAGATACTATAGCTATATCTTGAGCTATGATGAACACAAGGACGACCACAACTCCATATAAATATACTAATTTTACTTTCCCTTACACAATTATTTTAAGCATTGAAAGAAAACGACTCTCTTTGCAATACTACCAGCAGTAAAAAATGAATCAGAACACTAGATGTAACTGCTTAATGCCGTTAGTAAATTTATCAAAGTCACATAGTAAACTTAGAAGAAATTAATATCATCCCATTTCATTGAAAATTGGCGATCAATAATTTCAGAATAAAATGTTTGGAGATAAAACGAATACTCGACTTACCGCGCATTTTTGAGCTCCCGAATAGTGACATCAGCCTAATAAAAACTTCAATTTAGTAAGGACTCAAAATATCAATAACTGTTATTACAAATGTTAATCATAAGCCACATTCGATCAACATAAAATATTTTCATAATTTGTTAACACCAAAATTCAAAAGGAGTGGAAATGTCCCAAAATATTCCTTTCCAAGTTTCAGCAAACCCCAAATTCCACTTGCATTAATGCCCACTAATTCTAATTCAAAAAACGCTAAAATTATTCACATTACTAGACGGTAGAAGTCCTTCGCTGATTATGAAGTTAGTAAATATGCGATCGCCATTCTTCCACTGCTCATTAGAATCGCTCCCATCATTACACTCGTGATAGAAGTTTTATAAACCACTTTTCAAAGAAAACTTGAGAAGCGGAAATAATAGCAGTCTAGCTAAAGTCCTTAATCCAAAATATACTCTTCTATTAACAAAAATCAAACCTAACTAAAAGAGAAGTTTGGACTTTGGGATCGTTCTCCAATTTCAATCATATCAATAATACAGTCCCACATTTCAGTTAATTAAGATCAATCTATGGCATAGTTTCAACTGGATCAAAAGGCTTTCTATTTTAAGCGTCCATGATAAAAAACAATCCCTTGCCATTAAACTATTCATTATTTATTCAACCTTTTATTCAATGAAATATGCAAGTTAGTACCTGAGCAATGAAGAGAGTGATGAGCTGACATTATCAAAGGATAAGTTAGTGTAAATGACATACGAGGATAAGATGCCAGTGTCGATTTGGATTTCGTCGTCTCAAGTCCTCAAAACTACTCAGAGCAGTCTGTCTATCAGGAGCATCATCCGGTGAGGCGTACAACTGGTCAGAAGTAGAATTATTATTTTTACTAAAAGTGCAACACATTATTTCAATTACAAGAGTAAGAACTCTCGTAGCTATCAGATGAATTGGCATGATCAACTTATCAATTCAATCACCTAATTAATAAACTGCAAATATGATAGGCAAGAAATAAAAACATATGGGGGAAAATACTTACAATTGACGCTTTAAAAATCAGAAAACCACACAAAAGGAGGCATTAAAGTGAGTAAGGTAAAAAGTTGATTAAATGTTAATTTGATTTATATATTGATTTCCTACAAAACTTTACTGTTCATTCCAAACCAACCTTGAATTTTTATGCGATGGAGCATTTCGTCGAAGATGCTGGAAAGCTACATTGATGAGATCAATAGAATGATCGGTCGGAATAATACTAGAAGGAAGGATAACACCAAAGGTAAGATAAATATTATTATTTTAAATGGAACGCTTTATGACATTTATCATTAGCCTCAGTTAGAAAAATATGAATTAACCTAGTCGAGGGCGAAATGTCTACTGGCCGCCATACCAATTCAAAATCTCAACCGCAGTTATTATTTGGAATGAGCATACGACTAAACAAGAGCATTTTAGGGTGAAATTTCACTAAAATAATAGGCTAGTTTCATATTTAAATAATAATAGACTTGCAACAGGTCTAGACTAAACCAATAACAATAATAAAAAAAACTGTTCAGAACTAGACAAAGGACCGGAGTAATAACATTAGTATTCAATTGAACTGGTATAAGGGTCAACTTAAACAATACGGATACTGCTAACTACTGTAGGCTTACTCATGTTGGATAAAAAGCCAAAATGAAAAAAGTGAAACGCAAGTGAGTTTTAATGTTAAAATATATAAATTCAGTAGAAACCAAATAAAACGTGAAAGCAGCTTTAAATTAAACTTAGTAAGCAAATTTAAAAGAGCAATACGATAGCTAGGGGGCGAGACTCCTCACTAGGCGCAAGCTGTTGAAATTTCTTTCAAAATAATTTTTGAAAGTGAAGGAAAAATCACCGATTCTGTTTTTCAGACAAGGGTCGAAGAATAGATGGTGAAAGTTAGTAACTCAACTTCCACTTCAAACCGAAAAATATCACTCTTGAATAAATTAAAACAGTTAAAAACGAAGACATACATGGATGAGTAGATAAATGTAATTTAAGCCGGAGGATTTAGGAATTTCAAGAAAATAAAAATTAAAAAAGTATATCTGGTGTTGCTTTAGCGGAAAATTCAAATAGTTAGATTTTGTAATAAACCACAATCCAAAGTTTACCCAGTAGTGATGAATTATTACAAATGTTTTTATAAATTTATGTATGAACTAGAAACAAAATTTCTCCCAAGAAACCAATCTTTAGTGTTATCGTATCTGTAAAATAGAAAGGAAACATCTGAAACACTAATCAAACAGTCAACATAATGATAAGAAAGGACAAACAATCAATACCAGTGATCTTAACGACATGCAACTTAAATTTCGATCAATAAAAAATGCAAAACAAACGCTATTTTCGCCCTTTTATAAGTGCCAAAATGAAACTACCTGTCAGTCAATGCGGCGATAACAGTTGAATCGAGACCGCCAGAGAATAAAACACCAATTTGTGCAGGAGGACATGAGTAAAAGTCAGACAACTGGATAGATAGCTGAGAAAGAGGTCCAACTTGCTTGGCAATCGCTTGCTGGAGAAGAGTCTTCATAGTACTGATAGGATCATTATGGTCACAGATCAGCTTGAGTGGATGACATAATACGTCGTATTTAATGCCCTGGTTAAAGCTGTGATCTATCCAAAACTGCTTATGAGAGTCAGACCAAAAATGGCACGATTCAATGCAAAATCCACCAGAAGGTATTGCAGTTGCCACATATATACCAGAAGCTGGAATCTCCACAAGACCATCAATCTACAGTGATCTAAATTACTTTTATGAATAAAAAAGCATGTACATTTGATAAACAGAGACTTCCTATGAAGGTCAAATCCAAATTACAAACAAGGGAGCGTTGACCAACTTTGTCTCGTCCAAAATAAATTCGATTGTTGAACTTCTGTATAAGAATAAATGCGAATGCACCGCGGAGTTGACGGAAAATATTTAAAATAGCTCCGGTAGAACCATCGCAATGACTTATATCACTCATTAATTGCACTATATAATACGCTGAATTGTCGTAATGGCTAAAATCACCGTCCCAGAGTAAAACGTAGTCACCGAAATCAAAAAAGTTATTCTGAATGACAAGCATTGGGAGGTGAATTATATTGCACTCCGCACTATAATCAATACCATTCATGCACAAATCAGTACGAATCGTGGCACCCGGACCTCTGCGTTTAAAAGCTGCTTCACTGAAGGAACATCTGTTCTACAAAAAAACATCTGAGAGCAATGATGGCTAACCTGGTAGATGGTTGTTGTACAGAATAAAATTCCGCACATCTTAAGATGACTATTAATTACGTAATTAAATCTAACTCGAGAAACAGCTCTTTCAAAAAAATTCCAAAATTAAGCAAGAGAAGTGGCAAGACCCAGACCAAATGTTGCGGAGGATTCTGGGAATAGGCTAGGCGAGCGACAATACGACCAATAGGAGAACATTAAATCAATTAATCACTCATTTTCAGTTAATTGATGGGACAGTTATAAATAAATTGGAATTGACTCATTCTACAAAATGGCTTTTCACTTGTTCTCCAGATTCCTAAAATTTGTAATGAATTTTTTGCACCTCGAATCAACATATAATGTAACTTGGCTACAATAAATCCTAACATCTACTTTCGAACAGGTTTAAGTTAACAAATGCACTTAATTAATATATTGCAAATATTTCCAACTTTTACTTTACAAAAAAGGACGGAACGTCAGATGATTGCTACACAACTCTAATACAGGAAAAAAATTAGATATAATGTTTAATAATCTTTTACATCTGAACTAGCATTTTCTGCAAAATAACTAGGTTGAAACGTTTTACTATAGTTTTAAATAATGAATTTTATATGAACCAAATATCTTTACACTAAACACGCATGTCCATCGATTCTTCTCTTTGTTCACTCTGAAAAAGATAACGAATGAGCTGATTCGATGTTAGGCTATATATTAATATCTAATGATGCTTTCTTCTAAAAGCTTTGGCCAATTGAATTTTCAAGGTGATCGTGAATAGATCTATCCGTAAGAAGGGAACTAGCAGCTAGTAGAACAGTGAAAACGGAACCTTTCAAAACCAAAAAAGGAGAATATAGATTTGAATAGGTAAAAGGGCAAACTCCCAGTGAGGATTAAAGCTATTTCGAACAAATTGCATGCATCCGTACCTGATGCAAAATAACTATCCTAATGAATAATTTGTATACAAATTTATATCTTAATAATGTTACGCCTTGATTCGGAATAAATACGCTATTGAAACAAAAAAGAGAAACTGAGACTTCTTTGAAATAAATTTTATCAACTACGCCATTGAGGTAGTCATGCAAAACTTTTCTATTTAATTGTTAATGTTGGCTGTCGACAGTTCATGAAATCGGCACTAACCTGACCCATTTTAACTGGTTTTGAACGTACTTGGGAAACACTTACTACATTTTCTCATTTGCAATTGCTATCATTGGGATTCGAAAGTTTTCTACTACCTTATCAGCTAACATTTATTTCCAGACTTGTAAACCTTAACATATGGTGACCTACATTTCCGTTGTCAAACTCACGAAGATGAAGCAAGGTACTTGATAAGTACTAATTGGCAGATCTAGTGATGACACTCGACTTACTTTTAAGTCAAATGTGCAGTATAGGTGTTAATGCCTAGGATCGACTCGTTTGAATTCTGGCATGATTTCTTGCGGAATAAAGTAGGATCTGATCGTAGTCCCGGTAGACCGACAACTCGAAAGCGCGACCATTTTGTTCCAACTACTGCTTTTATTAACTGTCATCGGAAAATCTCATCATCTTTAGGGTATCTAGTTCAGCTACAAGAGATTATTGGGTAGGTCCTTTTCAAGCCACTCTAAACGAGAGTACTTTTAGGCATGTTTGCAAAACACGCGCTCCCTCTCCCTCTCTCTCTCTCTCTCTCTCTCCCCCCTATTAACCAGCACTTGCAAAGGAAAGTATGTAATGCTTACTACCGTATCCATTGGTGATGCATGGGTTTGATCAAGGATACTTAAAATGCTGTCAGTCACCAAGAGAAGACTAATTACCAGCATGACTGTAGTCCAGCAACGAAGCTTTTGTTATATAAAATCTACCTTATTTATCAATAAATTTGAGTGACACTCCCAGACTCCTCCATAATAGTCAAGCAAAAGGATTGAGTTGCCATGTTCTTTGCATATGGTCCTGGTTCACAATATTGTGCTTTTACAATTACGTTCCCAAATTTTCACGTCTTTGCAGGCCCGCACGCCAGGATTTGGAGTGTGCGGCCGTACGCGTATGACTACTTCCAAATAGAATTTCACTTGCTTTCTTCTGACAGTCAACAACTTCGTTGAAATTATTCGATAGTCACATTGTTGATCATCAATCAGTAGTTTGAAAGGAATGCGCTGTGAACTGTGATAATAGTACCTGGTTACTAGGACTCACATATCTACTCAGTTACGTTCTGAATTGTACACCTACTACCTCATCTCTGTCCTAATAAAACGCTGCTCGTCAGCGGATAAAAAGAACACAAAATCTTTCAACCATTTATCTTACGCCATTTCTTTCGTTTTTAACAACCCACATCATCGCTCCGTTGTTGTATAGACGCTTTCTCCTTTCTGCTCAATTCCGTTTACCCCTCTTCCACTTTTAATCGTCAAATATACGTGGAGTCCCGCATAGCTTTTGGTCCCCTCGTAGACTGTAAATTCCTGAAGAGAATATCTGGTCTAACTTGATATGGCTGAAAAAGTAGCTTTTAGCAATCAGGCTAGAGGTACTACAGATACATTACCGAGTTTGGAACGCTTTGAATATTGACCAAACTTCTGCATTAATGATTCACGTTTGCACCTTCAGTCTCATACAGTTTTGACTAGGAATTTCCCGCTATTTCATTTGGGGTTAATAATATTTATCTATTTAATAAAGGCGAATCGTTTCTATATTCACGGATTCAACTAACCTGGAGTCATAATCGCATTTTAAAGTGGAGATTTTTAGTATCACGCCATCAACCAGGTGCGAAAAAACATGACGAATCATGAATAATTACATTTTCATCGCAATGACCACTGTGGCCCAAAATTGCCCAGCCTGCTAAAAAATGCATTGCATATTAAGGATCGTTTGCATGTCCGTAAATTCTAAATCATCCTTATACTTATTACCACACTAGACGTATGGAAAAACTGGCTCACCCAACCGTCACGGATGTCAATAACAACGTACCACACATTCATTACTACATACATTGAACGTATTGATCAACAAATGGGAGAGTTTTATTTATACCGAAAAGAGCTTTAAGGAAAGATATCGTAAAAATTCCCTCTGCCTTTTCCAAATCGCCATCTTATGTGACTTCTTAGCATTGGCTGCATTTACTTCCAGCTGGTTTATGCAACCTAAAGAAGAGGAATAAATAAAAAGTGGATTTTGTACAAAGTAATTTAACTACTTACGTAAGAATGAATTTTTTCTTGAGAAGGCTTGATTACACTGTTGAAATTTACACAGGGCTTCCAATAATTGTAGATCCCAAAGAAATACAGTCATGGACTCCAAGGAATCGTAAGCATTGAATGTAGACGATGCCTTGACAGCACTTTCAAGGATTCGCAAACCTATTGGGATGTGAATCCTGCCTTCGAATTGGCAGAGCACTACTGCTTCACCGAAGTAGCCCATGGATTGACAACCAAAAATTAATACTTCAAGTGTCTAAAAAGCAAAAAAACATTAAAAAATGTAATGCAATGTTTAGAAGTGGTTAGGATTATGGAACCTCATTAAAATGAAACCTAAGTTTTGAAAGTTAAAAAGATACCTAAGCCCCCTTTGTGACAACTATTTATCGACAAAATAGTAGGAGAGGCGAGATATGTAGCAACTTACACAAGACAAATGACGCATATGAGCACATGCAAAGAATCACTCAAGCAACAGCAGAATTTTAGTGAACGTGCACCAGATAATAACGCTCATACCAGCGTTATAGCACCAATTAAATATGACCTATTTCAAGGAGATGATCCCACTTAGAACCAAATTCAAACACGTGGTTATTTGAGGCTCCGACAGAGATAATAGCATAGTCACATTAGTAAATACCCACCTGAGGAGTGAAGAGACTAGGAGAAACACGTTGTGAGAAATAGTTGCTCTCAGTTGCAGCAGCTTGAAGAATGAGAGACATTAGTAATCTGGGGTTATTTGACTGGATCCTTGATTGTAAATGCACTTGATTCATAAGATATTTGGCATTATTTCTATCTGACTCCAGTACACATGTTAGTGCAATCTGCAAAATCTCAGCGACTTCTTGTAAAAAGGGCTTCTAAAGAGAGAAAGGATAATGAATATTTATGCAATTCCCTTACCTTCTTAAGAGCTTTAGTAGTATTATAATCCACAGTAGGTTCAATTTTACGAGCATTCTTCAGAAAAGTAGTCAAACAGTTAATCAAACTGTCGAGAACGGCATGCCCCTCAACAAAGTTACTAAACGACAGGAGCTTGATGGTGAAAGTGAGAAATCCCATGTTGCTCACACTTTGTGGACCTGAAATACTCGCGTGAAACGGAACTCACAAGACATACCTATTGGAGGCGAGAAAGAAATATTTGGAAAGTAGAGCAGAGATTTATCCCAAATCGATTTTAGCCATGGTTGCAAAAAGTTCGAACAGAGACTGCATGCTGATTTAGTAAAGTTAGGCTTTTCAGTGGAGAGATTGAGCAATTGAGAGATAAGGCTGGGTACAAATAGCCTTCCCTTATATTCCGAGATAAATTGCGATTCCTAAGAGACAAAAAAATATATTTATGGTCTAAAAAAATAAGAACATGGCTTGTGTTGGGAAGTGAAGAAGACAAAGCTACATTATTGCTTCTCTCATCTTGCAACCATTTCAATCTAAGGCCTACTTTGTAAATTGAACTGTAATAACTCAAACGACATTTCAGAATACTTTTGATTGCATTGTAGAGGAAGGCCCACTCAATGGTAAGGGTGAGTTAGCCATAAACCAATAACTCTCCGAAAATGATATTCATAGATTAGCACAGTTAAACCGGATACAAGATATAAAAATACTAATTAGAGATAAAAGCAAGTAAACAAACCCGAATGAGAAGGTAGCAGGCAGCACAGGCCACTAGGTCATCAGAAATTATGCGTTCAGGTCCAAAATCATCTAATAGAATGGACTTGCATTGTTGCAGCAGCAAATCCTTTGATGGGACTTGTCTAGAGGTAGAAGCAGCAGTTACTGCATCGATAATAGCATGGATAGTTTTCTCCTCTTCTATCATCTCGTAAATCCATCGAAAGAGATTCCGACGCCAAAATGGAACACCACCGACACAAAATGAAACATCTTGTTTCATGTCAGTAACCTGCTGATTACGTTCGGAAAGGGAAAGGAAAGCTTTTGCGACTTCGAAGTGCATTTTATCACGACGATATTCAAGAGCCCGAAATAGAAGAAGTAGAGATGGAGCGCAGTTAATGTTCTCAGATACAGCAGCAAGAAAATCGTAAGATAATGAAGAATTGGAAATGAAGGCAGCATCCTATAGAGAGGAACAAAGGAATAACAAATAGCAAAACGTTAAAAAGAATCTTCGATTGTTTAAACAATTTTAGATAGAATAAGTTTAACACATGGGGTGTGCAAGAGACTTACCTTGAAGTGGTGTACCCTGGACAACGTACACTCATACGGTAAAAAAGTCTATAACCCGACAGCTGACTGTGAGCATACACACCGCAAAATAATTGACGATTCTGGTTCTGGTCACAAGCCAGTCATTGCTAGTATTACCATCAGCAAATGACGCATGGCACCCAAAATGCAAATCAAGCTATCATGGAACTTCAAGAAGGCCGACTGGCCTAGATTCACTAACCTTTTAGAAAATGAACTGCATGTAAATCTCATCAACCACAACCACCAACCTGACAAACCGTACAGCAATATCACAATTATTATGATCAGATGTGCAAAGAAAACTATTCCCCGTTCCAAGATAAAACACTATAGAGTGTTCTGGTTCCAACACCTTGAGGAATTGAAAAGAAAGCAGTACCCCCTTCGCAACACTGTTGATCAGACGGGAAGAACGGAAGACGCACAAACCTGGAGAGAACAGTCAGCTGTCCTAAGGCAAGCCATCTTACAAACTAAACGGACTACCTTTGGCAACTTCATCTCAAATATCAATTATCAAAATGATAGCCAACGCACTTTCAAATTCCTTTGTAACCTCCAAAACAACAGGAAAGGACCCAAGAAAGAACCAATACGCTTATAAAACAAACAGCTTACCACCGACTCCGAAATAGCCCATTACTTTGCAAGATTCTATTCCCCCAAGTAAAAGAAAAAACCCGTTTGTCAGAAACTCTTCAAGAGAAATAAAGTTACAAGTAGGATATTTTGATAAAATTAAGGACGACACAACAATGCCACATAATGTACTTACTGAACCACTCAGCTCTCATGAACTCAATGCTGCTATAAAACATCTATAGTGCAAAAAATCTCCTAGGGAAAACGGCATCCAGCATGAATTTCTAATTAGAATGGGGTCAAAAGCCAAGGAAACCATGCTGATATTATCCAACAAAACTTGGGAGACCAGTCTCGTACTTACCCAATGGAAAGTTGCCATAGTAATACCAATACTAAAAAAGGGCTAAGACACTAGCAACTCACAAGCATGTTGTCTCAACTTATGGAGAGAATGGTTAACAGGAGGCTAACCTGGTTCCTTGAAACCAACAACATTCTTAGAAACGAGCAAGCAGATTTTAGGCCGCAAAGATCAACAAACAGGTAGCCACGCTCCTCCAACATTTCAAAGATGCCTATGATGTAATAAATACTCTTGAAGCTGAATTCACTACTATCAATTCACTATATGATCGAGTATGAAAATAGAATCTAATTCTAAAATTGGTGAAGATTGGCATGCTAAACTGGATAAAAGCATCCATTGGACAAAAATCATGTAAAGTCAGATATGGAAACGATCTGTCCAAATCTAACCTTTAAAAAAATATGGAAATGCTCTATCAAAATCCAATCTTTTACAAACAGCTTAAATGCTCTATCAAAATCCAATCCTTTACAAACAGGCCTTTCACAGGGGTCACAAGGCACTCTTTTCAATGTCTTCATCAATGACACAGCCAATTGGTACAGACAGTCACGGGCATCAAGTGTTTACTTTACTTAGTACAGACAGTCACGGGCATCAAGTGCTTACTTTATGTAGATCTTGTTCTATGGTATTCCACCTCCAAGAAGAACTCTCAGAAGAGGTCGGAAAGTGCCCTAAATTATGCACTTTAACTATTAGCAAACTGGTGCAACAACAATGGTACGGTGATCAACACATCTAAAACTGCATACCAAACACTTCATTGGCCCACCACAACATAAATCCGCATTTAATGTACAAGGATACTTCTCAAGAGTTCACTTATCTTGGAGTGATTTTTGGCACAAACTAACAAAGAAAAACTACACTGCTCAAAATATCATAATGAGTGTCCAATATACTGAGCGTACTGAAGCACCTCGCTGGTAGCATATGGTGCTGTGCACGCTCAATCCTAAACACCACTTACATGATGTTTGTTCAACTAATAATTTCGTATTGCTGCGAGCCACTTATTACAGCCTTTGAGGTGATTCTCAAACCACTCGAGAAGACGCACAACCAGGCATTTCGACTAATTACTGGAGGGATAAAATCAACACCCATTGATGCAATGCTCCTGGTTACAGGGAACATCACAATACATTCCTTTATCAAAGAGAAGGCCTTGATACTGTGTGAGAAGCTAATGCGCACTCCCATGGGCAAATTCTTCAGCACCTACGAAATTAGGCCAAGACACCTAAAAACGCAATCTGGTCTAATACAAAAGCCATAGAACTGAAGAAAGCATTACAAATCGATGACAAACCAAAAAGCCTCTCTCTCCCCCCATGAACCCGTTAGCAGACACTGATGTACAGTGTTGCACCAAGCCGCTTGACCACTTCAGGAAAGCAAATACCCATCTAGAAGAAATGCGTTCATTGGCCCTTGAGATAATCAATGTCAACTATCCTTCAGATCAATGGCTCCAAGTCTTCACTGATGGGTCTTACATAGAAAATCAAGCAAATGTGGGTGCAGGTGTTTACTCTGAACTATTCTCTCTCTTCGCAGCAGCTGGACACAATAGATTTGTATTCGAAGGAGAAATATTGGCCACTAAGATAACACTAGGCCAATTGTGTTGCCTGGATACGAAATTCACCAAAGCAGTAATTCTTTCGGACTCACAGTCAGCAATTAACTCAACTTGCTAAGAAGGGGACAACGATTTTGCAATG